ATGAATTGGATGCTTTCTATGGGTCAGGATGCATAAGAAAGAACCAAGATTAGAGCAAACTAGTATGGATGGCCATGTTCCCACCCGTGGGTGGACCGCACCACCAGATGGCGCTTCATGGAAATTGACCTCAAGAATTAGGGGGGCTGAACACTTGTGGGAAGAAGTGGAGAGAAGGCTTCCCTAGGCAGTGAGTTCACTGTGAGTTGCCTCCTCTCTTGGAGTTTTATTTTTCCAGCTGATTAGCAGAGCCACACGAACTCTGGCTCTTTCTCGAACTCTTGGTAATTCATCTACCCAGCATCCGAGTGCCTGAGGGAAGAACACGTAAGTACTGCGTCAGGAATCTTAACTCAGCAACCCGTGAATATTTGCACCCATATCTTTAAAGCACCAAGAATGACACTGGTAGTGTGTGTGATGTGGAGAGCAGGGCTCTCTCAAAGGACTGTCTCACGTCCTGAGAAACAGGGTCACAATGTTTGTATAATTCCCCATCATTCTGCCTCCCAGAACATCATCAGTTCCTCCCAATGCAGAAAACAGACTTTATTTCCTCCTTTGGAAGTTATTCAGCCTTTGGTACATGCTCTTCTCAGCTGCGGGAAGTCTAACATTGTGTTTAGAACAGCTATTGTCATTTTATTGGCACCACTCACCAACAGGCACTTAAGGCATAATTCAGACTTCAATCTTTTTCACATTGTTTGGTGCATCTGCACAACTCAAAGAGTGTTGGTGCCCAAGGTAATTAATACCTCAGAGCTGAAGCAGGTGGACAGGAATTGTGAGGGAGGTTTTCTGGAGCTGGGAGCCCTGGCATGTTCTGGGGGTGCCGGTAATCACTGAGCGTCAGTCAGGAAACTTGGCCTTCCATGAAAGGGTCTTCAGTTGGCCTCAGGCAGAAATAAGAGAAAGAGGGAGAATGACAGGAGAGAGAGAGAGAAGAGAGAGAGAGAGAGAGAGAGCACTTTGGAATCTCCAGAAGGTGTTATTGGCTTCATCTCTCAACCAGTCTGTGCTTCAGGACTAACAGCAGAATAATTAATTATGGTGAAAGAGATTTGGGATCTTTCCTCAGAATGCTTTTCCAGTAAAAATGAATGCAATGTCTTGAAGTTATAAATCAAACTGGGAAATTCAGGATGATAATTTTAGGTGAGTCTAATGAGAAAAAGCAGATTCCAACAGCCTTGGGGTTCAGTGGAATGGAATAATAAGGTTACAGAGTGACCTTATTAGGCAAATGTACTGAGTTACACAGTACCTCAGGGCTGTATTAAGTGCTCAGTAAATAGATGACTTCCAAATGAATATGCAAATGAAGGCCATCTGGTTGCAAATATCCCTTCTTTCTCTTAAGAAAGTTAAGTACCTGATTTGTGGGAAAAATCTTCTGACTCCAATCATCATTGAGGAACATGCTATTTTCAGATGTTCCTTGTTATCTGTGAAGTTATTTTTTTAGTGGGCTTCCCCATGAGGGACAATAAAGTGATCAACCATCCTGATCTGCTCAAGACTGAACAGTTTCTCACAATGCAGGATTTTCACCACTAAAACCCAGACTTCCCATAAAAAACAGGTCAGTTGGTCAACCCAGAGTGGCAGAATCTGCCCTACAGATCTTTCCTGCTCCATCATCAACTCTCATGAGCCCTGTGCAGCCAAGACTCCCCCACGTCCAACCACAGTCAGCACCTGTCACCTCTGTTCAGCTAATACTATTTTGGCTGAGGCCACCAAATCCAAAGTTCACCTTCCAAGTCTGATTTCCTTTGTCCTAGCGTGGCTTATGACATCGGTGGCCACTCCCTCTTTTAAAAAATTGTCTTCTCTTGGTACCGATTGCTTCCCTCTTTCCTGACTTTCCTCCATCAATAGACTCCAATTCTTCTGGATATGCTCAGATGTCCCCTCACCTTTGGTTCCAGGCTCCTCTGCTTAATGTATGGTAGCGCTTATCTGTCATTGTCTGGGGGCACCCTCACTCTGGAGTGCATGCCCTCGGTACTCCCTGGGCTCTGCAGTCAGATTTCCCTGGTTCAAATCCTAACTCTGCCGTTTCCTAACTGTATGGGCATTAGCAAGTTCCTTCACTTTTCTATACCCCAATATTCTATCCCCTAATTAGTAAAATAGGGGTAATACTATAGTTATAAGATACAGAGTTATTTTTGAAATTAATGTAATTCTATATAAAGCCTAGAAAAATGCCTGGCACACAGAAAACATCGAAAAATGTTAGCTAAATTGACCCCTTTTTCCTTGGTGCTCCCAGCCTTGCTGTGCTCCCTTTGCTGTGACTTTAGCACAGCTCCTCATCACCCTGGCACACTTTGTTGCACTTCTTACTGCTCACTGTCCCTAAAGTGCAAGCTCTAAGGGATTCTTACCCCACTGCATTTCCATTCACTACCTAGCACGGCACCTGTCACCTAAGAGCAATCGGGTGTCAAATGAATGATGAGAGTTTGCAATGACAGAATCTCTATTTCAAAAGCCCACGTGTCAATTATTCCCCAAAGTGTTAAGTACTGATTTGGTGAATACCTGCAGTGAACAGCACACTGATTGATAATCTCAATAGCAGCTATAATTTCTTGAATCATCGCTATGCCAGATATTATGCTATGGATTGGGGTCAAACCCAAGTGTTTACATGCAAATATTGGCAACTTCAAATAGTTCAGTCTAAACTGTGTGCTTTAGCTTGTTTCATTCTATCATGGTAAATGTGTCGTTAATTATCTTCATTAGAGATGAGAAAACTGGGACTTGTGGAGATTAGTGACTTGTCAAGGTCCCATAGCTAGTAGGTGGTAAAAACAAGGCTGGACCCATCCTGTCAGCCCCCGGAGTTGGTGCCTTTGGTCACTATGCAGTGAAGGCAGAGAGTTGCCCCCAGCAGCTCTCTGTCTGGTTCTGGAGACAGGGCTATCTATGCTCAGGAAATTCCCAGAGTAAATGCAATACTTAATAATGTCACACTAAATTGGATCCGATTTCCTGAGATTGTACAGGGAGCCAGCGTGTCGCATTCATAGTTAACAGGGAAGAAGGGTAGAGGCTCTGGGGGAAATTGAACAATGAACTTTCCTACAGAACATACTTGATTGTCATTTTCTTGTGCACTTTACTGGCCTTGGCCTTAGGTCCTAATTACACTATCTTCAAACAGCAACTAAGAGATATTCCTCATTAAACGTGAACAGGACGATGTTTAATCTGTTAGCATGTAAGTGTACAGAAAGCAAGTCATTGGTTTGGGGTGATGACATGAACTCTCACTGGGGTTGTCCCTGGTGAGCCGGGGCTTCTATGCACAGGGCCCATGTTCACTAGATAAGTTCTGTCACTCTCAACCGGAGACCTTTTAACTTTTTTCAAGATGGGACAACTTAGTCTCTCAATCTTTCTCTCTCTCTCCAACTCTCCCCCCCCCATTATAATGGGAGAAATTGTCCTTTTTCCCCCCCTTTTTTCCTTTTTTATTATAATGCTATGTATTTGTTACATCATTCTTCATTTTTGTGTAATATATGCTTTATCGTCTTGGGTATAGTCCCCATAGAATTCCCACCAGCAGGGAGTGCAAACTGGTCCAACCACTATGGAGAGCTGTGTGGAGATTTCTTGACCTACTAAACATAGAGCTTCCATATGATCCAGCAATTCCACTCCTAGGTCTTTACCCAAAGGACACAGAAACATCCATTCCAAAGAACACCTGCACCCCTATGTTTATAGCAGCACTGTTTACAATAGCTAAGCTTTGGAAACAACCCAAATGCCCAAAAATAGATGACTGGATCAAGAAGATGTGGTACATATATACCATGGAATATTACTCAGCATTCAAAAAAGATAAACACATGCAATTTGCAGCAACGTGGATGGCACTGGAAGGGATCATGCTCAGCGAAATAAGCCAAAAAGAAAATGAAAAATACCGGATGGTCTCACTCATAGCAGGAATCTAGAAAACTTAAATAAGGGACCAGGAAAATGAATAACTATAAGAAAGTAAAAATCAAAATCAACAAAAAACTATGAACGAGAGACACTTTTTGGGGGGTGAGGGGCGGGAGGGGAGGGATTGGGGTCAGAATGGGGGGCTGCAATTGTATGGGGAATATAAAAATAAAATTTATTATTTAAAAAAAAAAAAAAGAATTCCCACCAGCAATTCACCTGTGCACCATCACCATAGTCCCTTGTGCTCTTCCCTCTCCTGTTTCGATCCAACTCCCTCCTCCCTCCCCCCTACAGAGTGTCTCTGGTTTATAGTTGCCTATTGATTTTTATTTTTACTTTATTATAATTACTTTTTTTTCTTGATCCCTATTTGGATCCCCTACATCCCTCCTATAAGAGAACCATCCGGTATTTTTCTTTTTTTTTTCTGGAAACTATTCTAATTGTCATTTCAAAATCCTAGCATCGGATAGGTTACAATTTGCCTGTGATTTCTCATGTGATTGTTAGACAATGTTTATTTGGATAAGTATGTTTGTACAGCATCCAAGAATATTGATAAATGCTTCACTTTCCATAAGGTAAGTTAAAAGCATCAAAACTAGTGTCACAGCAATTTGTACTATAGTATTTCCTTCAACCTGGGGGTCAGAAAGAACTGGCTTTGAAAGTATGACTGGATGCCTTGCTAGTTATGCATCCTGGAGCAAATTTCTTAACATGAGTGAGCCTAAATATCATCTACAAATGAAGGCAGAAGCAACTCTGAGGGTTTATGTGACAATTTGGTATAATAATTTAATACCAGTAAAGCCCAAGTCCAGGATTTGGCAGCTCATTCCCGCTCGTTGGATGCTCCAGGTCACCAATTTGGGAGAGAATAAGGGCTGATGGGTGATTGATAGCAAAAGGGATCTATTCTGTCATGGGATGGAGAGGAGAGATGAACAGCCTTCTCCAGAGTCAGGGGAGTAACCAGTGATGGTTGCCACTGAAGATGTCCTTCTTGCCCTGCCTTCCAGCCCTTGAAAATGCACTGCGGGGACTGCGCCCTGGTGACCAGCTCCGGGCATCTGCTGCGCAGCCGGCAAGGCCCCCAGATTGACCAGACCGAGTGTGTCATCCGCATGAATGATGCCCCCACGCGCGGCTATGGACGCGACGTGGGCAACCGCACCAGCCTGCGGGTGATCGCGCATTCCAGTATCCAGAGGATCCTCCGCAACCGCCACGACCTGCTCAATGTGAGCCAGGGCACTGTGTTCATCTTCTGGGGCCCCAGCAGCTACATGCGGCGCGACGGCAAGGGCCAGGTCTACAACAACCTGCAGCTCCTGAGCCAGGTGCTGCCCCGGCTGAAGGCCTTCATGATCACGCGCCACAAGATGCTGCAGTTCGATGAGCTGTTCAAGCGGGAGACAGGCAAAGACAGGTAGGAGGCGCCCAGCAGCGGGTGGCAGGGGATGCCAGAGACAAAGTCTTTGCTGCCTGATTCACCAAAAGCAAAACTTGCTGGGGGAGAGGGGTTATGTGACTCCATGGTTCATGCCATTGACAAAACTCAACTCGGTCCTCCTGGAGATTGGGCTTCTCAAGCTGAATTTATAAGCAAAGTGAAATGAAGTACTGAGACCATTATATGGATAATCCGGGGCCAAATTCCTGTTTTGGAGGAAGAGGTTACACAGTTGCTAGTTTACACTGGTAATAGGTACAAGATAGTAGCTTCAGTGTGCTTCATTTAATTGTGTGAACACTAACCTAAAGTGTGTCGGTGAGAATTCTCTTTGCTTTCAAAAGGAAAACATCTTGTCAGCCAAACCATATTTATTGAGTAGCTACAACTTCACCACTCTTGACATGGGGCTTGACACGGAAAATAGTCATAAACAGGCCTAGACTCTGCCATCCCAGATACAAAGTCTTACAGATATTCACACCACGTAGCACTTCTGTAGCATGCAGGGCAGGGACACCTGCCAGACTCTAGGGTAAGTTTTTCCAAGCTGCTAGTTACAAATCAGTGATGGGACATGAAATCAATGTAGTGAGTCACTGCAAGATTTTTTTCTTTAATATAATGGAAAGAATAGAATGAAATGGAACAGAACAGACAATATCAACATTTATCCTTCATAGTAAGTAAGGCAAGGTATTGTTTCATGAAACAATATTTGGTTTTGGTTTTATACATATAAATACTTTATGTATATATACACACACACGTATAGGGGGTTCTTTTTGAGGTGATGAAAATGTTTTGAAGTTAGACGGTGGTGATGATTATACAACCTAGTGAATAAACTAAAACCCACTGAAATTGGCACATTTAAAAAATGAAAACCATCTAAATATAGATAGATCAGCAGATAGCACACAGATGCTAATCTCGATGTAAAATGTATTTGTCACAATAGGTAGAAATATTTTGAAAAACACTAGTCTGAGAGATGGGGGAATTTGGGAAAACCTTTTTTTAGGCCTAAGGCCCAGGCATAAAAGTGTCTATCTAAGTAAATAAGATCCTAGGACAGGGGCAAGAAGCTCCTTATGGGTGCAAGGGATCAAAAGTGAGAGAATTGGGGTTGGAGAAAGTCTCCTGTATCTGCAGTCAGCAGGGCTCCAGGGAAGTGGCCCCAGTGAAGCAGAAATGAAGGGCCTTGAGCTGCCCAAATCTTGGTGAAAAAAAGGACAAGCTAGGTGTGGAAGGTAGCAGTGCAGTATAGTTCAAATACACAGCTCTAGGTTGGAATTCTGATTCTGTCACTCACTAGTTCTGTGACCTTGGACAAGTTATCTCACCTCTCGGTAACTGCATGTGAAAAGGCAGCTTGACTAGACCTCATAGGACTGGTCTAAGAATTCAATTTCCTTAATTCTAAAACATGTGCTTTATAATGTATTTAATGATGGAATTTACCCCACCCTTGTGAAAACTGTTACCTAGTTTTTGTATATCTTAAAGCAAAGGGATATGATAAATAAAAAATACATTGTTTGACTAGTATAGACAGCTCATTGTTGGAGAATAGAATTTGAAAAAAAGCCAGTGTCCCAAATTCTTTGTGTGGAAGAACTTTTTTTTCAAAGATTTATTTATTTATGCATACAAGAACTGGGGTACAGGCCAGACGTGTGAGGCGTGAGAGGATTCACCAGAGACAGTGGGAAGCAGAACAGGTGGATCTACTGAAATACACTGTTGAGGGGAGCAGTGGGTGAGACCGGAGAGGTCTGCTGCACCATGTGAGTAGCTCCCTGGCCAGCCGGGGTAGGATCGAACTCATGCTGCAGAGGCTGCGGACAGCTTCACAGTGCTGTGCTTATTAACCCCTTCCGCCACCAGGAAAGCCCCTGGCAGAATCTTCTTTTCAAATCCTGGAAACTTTGTGGCCATTTGAAGACTAGTCCAGGCAGGATTGGGTTTGAGTCTGATGGAGGGAGGAGCGGGGAGCTGAATCATAGTGCTATGGCAATCTTTCTACCCTGGATCCAAGTGTACCCCAGAGTTAATCCAGCCAGGAGGTCTCAGAAGGTATCTTGGTCATCTTCATGAGCTGCCACAAAATCCATTCAGTTTTTGCCCTTCAAAACCCACAAATAAAAAAGACTGTCACTCATTTGAATATGCTATTTAATCAAGAGAGCATTTTATAAAAGAATGGGAGTGAGGAGAGTTATTTACAGTTTGATTTTTGTCTGATTAGAAAATGCAAAATAAGTAGAAACACTCTCTTCAATAGAAAAACACTTCTCTCTTTTGAGTTTAATGGTTGTTTGCTAAATTTAAGTATTCCTGAAACACTGCTACAGTGTTAGCGGTTTGGGATAATTACACATTGCTCTGTATCTCCTTAAGGAATTATTTTAAGTTGAAAACTTGTAGACTAAGTCATTCCACCCTTTAGTTACTTCGATCTTTCAGAAACAATCTCACATCGTGCCATTGCCTACTCACTAAATGCATTACATTCTGACCAGCTGCAAACCTTTTAAATATATCTGTCCCGGGGCCTCCCCAGTGGTGCAGCGGTTGAGCGCTGGGTTGCAAAGCTGCCTGCGATCTCTACAGCACCGGTTCGATCCCTGGCAGCTCCCTGGCCACGGGAGGAGGGTCCCACATGGCGCGCAGACCTCTCCTGCCGCCCGCTGCTCCCCTCAGCAGTGTACTTCGTCACTCTGTTCTGCTCTCCGCTCTGGCTCTGGTGAATTCTCTCACCCTCCCACACCTCTGACTGTACCCAGTGCTTGTATAAATAAATAAATAAACAAATAAAAATCTTAAAAAAAAAATAATAAATAAATATATCTGTCCCCCCTGGCGAGCCCAGCTGGTAGGGAGGGAGCTGAATCTTTGTGTTTTGTCCACTGACCATCTCAAGTGCAGATACAAAGGTCCACACGCAAAGGTCCTCTCGACTCAGAGGAATCACACGAACTTGTACAGTGCCAAAGTACATTGTCACTCCTAAAATCTTTGTTTCTCTTACCTTTGGGAAACTGTTTTAAAGAAACTAATATATATTGACCAAAATTCTCATGTGTTGATATTCTTAAGCTGCAAGTTATTCTAAGCTACAAGAACCAAGTCAGAAATAGCACTTGATAACAAAACTATTTCTGTCAATTAAAACACAAAGTATTTAAGGTCTAAAGGAGTTTCATCTATGGAAGCTATTCCATATAAACAGCAGCATGCGTTGAAGATATACACAAAGTGTGGAATATATATGACTTTATGTATCTCATGATTAGGACATTCATTTCAGGCTGGTATCTTTAAAAAAATAGGATAATTCAATAGATTTTGATTTATAGAAGTTTCACCCTATTTAAAAGTGAAGGGAAAATGGCTCAGTAACAATCTGCAATTAAGAAGCATGACAAATGACATAGATGGCCAAGTGGTATTCTTTGATATTAGAAAGTAACTGTACTTGAAAATAACTTTATAATTGAATAAGGGTACATTAGGAAAATATGATTCAGAACCAATATTATAGTAATTACATAAAGGAAGCATAAATGAAATAACTGCAGGAAGAATATTTCCATAGAGATTATAAATGAGATTCTGGTGGAGCAGAAAGGCCTTTAATTGTAATTTAGTGTGCACTATAGAATTATCAGCTCAGTGTGTTACTTCATCATATAAAAGAATATCTGATAATTTTCCCTAATAAGCACATGACAGCTCTTCATATGCCTTCATTACAGCTGATTAAGTGTAAAAACAGTAGATATTCCTTTGTCGGAAAAAGGGTTCAAATCTTTTTAGAAAGACAGCATAAAGTGGTTGCATTACTACAGCACGTGATCCCAAAGGCTATTATTTAGGAAGTCTATGGAATTTTAAGTGGCACTTTAAAGAACGCTTCACTTTAGTTTCTTTCCCTCTCCACTTTGTATTCACCCCATTTTTACCCATGAAAACTTTTTCTGTAGAGTCACATCCTCCTGTATTTCAGGCTGTGGCTTGTGATCTTCATCACACAAAGAAAGCCAAAATTACAGGGGAGTTTCTGCCACTGGGAAAAACCCTCCTGGCATTTCCGACAACTCTAAAAGCATGGGGACACAGATGTAGGTCCCAGATCAGGAATCTGAGGATTTCCTGAGCTGTCATTATTCCTGCTCCACATCCTCTCAGTTATTCACTAACCCATTTTAAGTCCAGAACACCCAGCCCCACATTGTCACAGCCACATGAGCAAGGACAGGCTCCAATTTGAGGCGGTGCACTTCCCCTCTCTGCTGCCCATCCGTCAACTCTGCCCCATCCCACCTCCCTCAGTCCCAAAGTTCTTGTGATTGCATGGTGCTCCTGAGAAAAGAGGATGGTTAATAACTATGTAGATTGCAGACCCCAGAATCCCAGAACTTTGTAATTTCTGCCTTGACTAGAAATGATGGCTCTTCCTGAGATCCCAGTAGCGGTTTTGGAAGAATATCAGTTTCTTTGTGATGCTAAAAAGTACTTGAAAGGAATACCTGAATTATTTACTTCATTTGTGCCAACCAAGAAAGGAGGAAGGAGTTTTGATGTATCAACACACAGGTCAAGATGTCCTTTGTGAATGCTTCTCATTAAGACCTCAAAATAGCCCAAGGACATAGCATCTCCCATGCCTACTTTATAGGTAGGAAATCAAGGCTCAGTGTTCAGCAAAATCCGGGCCTGTTAGTGAAGAAACTGGAAACACACAAACCCACGTTACCCCATCTTTGAGAGCTTTTAGATGTGCTTCTGGGCATTACTGGGTCAAGAGACAATGGGTTGGAAAACAAAAAAAGGGTAAAGCGTTTAAGAACACAAAGTCAAAGCCATGAACTCAGGAATAACTAAATCACCCAATTCTATCTGACAAAGTAAATGCCTTTTTATTGTTACTATTGCAGTTCCTTATATGAAATGAAAATGATGCAGACTGCTTAACGAAAAGTCTTCCTTTTCAAGGAAGGGTGCTCCACGTTATAAACAGAAATGCTCTCTGTGATTCTGTTATTCGCATCACATAAGGTGCTGTGACCCAGGCAAAGTCAGGCAGTCTGACCTTGGGGATAAGGATCGAAACTGGCTAATGAGGCATGCCATAAGCCCTGGAAAAAAAAAAAAAAAGCAAAGCAGCAATCCCCAAAGAATTGAAATTAATATTCAGAGCAGCTTAGCATGGTAGACCAAGTCATTCTCCCTGGGTCAATTTAAACCTTGATATTATGTCTTCACAGTTATTCTTGTGCTTTGCATGTGGCTAGATTTGAGTGCAGATGTCTGGATGGTGAATGAATAAATGTTGGAATTCACAGATTCTTTCCTTATATTTTGTCAATTTTGGCCAGTAATAAAAAATTGGCTTAAGGTTTTGAATATTCTGAGGTAAAAATAAAGCAAATGTTCGGTTAAACATAGGCATGCCTGTGACCCTTCTACTCTAAGAAAAGACATTCAATCAAGATGTTGGGTGTTAATTTGCTTAATGGAAGGCACGATTTTGCCCTAAGATTGTTTTGGGCTCCCTTTCCCGCAAACAGTTTGATAGATCAGTTGATCAGTAGACACCACATCTTTGTGTTTATTCATGTTAATAAACTCTTCACTATCTAGTCTGCTTGAGGAGCAAGGAATATTTCTAGTTACTTGAAATTGCCACTTACAAGAAATTGAGTGGTGGCGGTATGCACTTAAACATTAAACCATTGATCATCCTCTCTGATGATGTAGCAGTGGCGTGAGCATCCTTTCATGTGGCAAATCCACCATGTGGAGCATCAACCACTTTAATTGTGCTGTAGAATATGGTGGTGGTGGTAAGAAATTTCTATTCGGTAAAGTTCCAGCTCTTTACCAAGTGGAGAGAAAAAAGACTGTGTGTCCACAGTCAGTCTTGCTCCAGAAAGGATTTGAAATGGCAGTGGATGTAACAGTTCCTTTACTAGCTTGCAGAATTAATTGTTGTTCCTTCCAGGAAGATCTCCAACACTTGGCTCAGCACCGGCTGGTTCACAATGACGATTGCCCTGGAGCTCTGTGACAGGATCAATGTTTATGGCATGGTGCCCCCAGACTTCTGCAGGTAGGATTTATTCAGCAAGTGTAATTCATCAGAAGCATTGTACAGGGTTTATAAATATCTGATTCCAAATATCAAATACAAAACATGTCTAACTGTCTTCTTGAAGCAATTAATTAACATGTCCCAAGTTCTGGATCTAGAAACAACAAACAGCATTTAATTATGTGATATAAAATATTGAAAGTTTTTGTTTGTACTGGTGGAGAATTAATCCATCTTGTGGGCTTCATTTAGCCTCTGAATATTTATCAACCAAAAGTAATGCAATAATTGGCATAATATTAACGATGAACTAGCATTAGGAATATTAGTTTTGTTCTCATTTGAAAGGAATGTGGTAATTTTTAATGAACTAAAGAGGGCAATTTCTTTGACAGTAAGCCTGTTTTCTAAAATTAAAATATTCCTCTGAGCCTCTTTCCCTTGCCACATCAGCAGCCTCGGTTTGTGCTTCTAAGACCAATAGCATAGGCATAATTATTTTTTTTTATTTTCTTACAACGTTGTTCATTTTTGTACAATATTTGATTTCTCCCCTCAGGTGTCATCCTCATAAATCTCCCACCACCACAGCACCCTGTGAACCATCACCATAGTCCCTTGTGCTCTCCCCTCCCCTGTTTTGACCCCTCTCCTTCCTCCTCCCCTGCTATATGTCTCAGATCTATAATTTGCCTGCTAATTTTTTTTTTACCTCTTATCCAATTTCCCTATATTCCTCCTATAAGTGAAACCATCCAATATTATTCTTTCTCTTTTTTTTTAAGATTTATTTTATTTATACAAGAATTGGGGTATAGGCCAGATGTGCTAGGGTGTAGGCCAGAGGAGCAGGGGGTGAGAGGATTCACCAGAGACAGAGCAGGGAACAGAACATGCAGAACAATAGAAATACACTGCTGAGGGGAGCAAGAGGTGAGACAGGAGAGGTCTGCTGCGCCATGTGGGTTTCTCCGCAGCCTGTGGGGATCCAACCGGCGCTGCAGAGGCTGCAGCTTCACAGCACTGCGCTCAACTGCCTGTGCCACCAGGGAGGACCCCAAAATTATTCTTTTTCCTTCTGGTATATTTCACTGAGCATAATCTTCCAGCTCCATCTATGTTGCTGTGAATGGCATGAGTTTATCTTTTTGAATGGTGAGTAGTATTCCATTGTGTATATATATCACTTCTTCTTGATCCAGTCATCTGTTTGGGGGCACTTAGGTTTTTTCCATATCTTAGTTATTGTAAATAGTGCTTCAATAAACATATAGTAGTGCAAATTAAGGTTTTTGTGTCCTTGGGCTAGATACCCAGGAGTAGAATTGCTGGGTCATATGCTAGATGTTTTTTTAGTAATTTGAGGAAACTCCACACAGCTTTCCATAGTGGTTGGACCAGTTTGCATTCCTACCACCATATCCTCACCACATTTGTTGTTGCCAGTCTTTTTTTTTTTTAATTTTTATATTTTTACATCATTTTTCATTTTTGCACAATGTTTGCATTTTCATCTTGGTTATAGTCCCCATACAATTCCCACCCCACCTTGTTTTGATCCTGCTCCCTTCTCCCCCCCCATAATGTGTCTCTGGTTTATAGTTGCTTGTTGATTTTGATTTTTACCTTTATTTTAATTAGCTTTTTCCTGGTCCCTTATTTAGGTTTTCTAAATTCCTGCTATGAGTGAGACCATCTGGTATTTTTCTTTTTCTTTCTGTTGCCAGTCTTTTTGACATAGACAGTTCTCACTGGTGTAAGGTGTTATCTCATTTTGACTTGCATTTTCCTGATTATAAATGATGTTGAACATTTTTTCATTTACCTTTTGGCCATTTGCATTTCTTCGTTGGAGAACTATCTTTTTACTTTAGTTCTTCTGCCCGTTTTTTTGACTGGGTTGTTTGTTTTTGTTGAGTCATGTGAGCTCTATGTAGATCTTTGATATCAGTCCCTTATCAGTACAGAATGAGAATATTTTCTCCTAATCAGTAAGGATCTCTTCGTTTTGGTTATTGTTTCTTTTGCTGTATAGAAGCTTTTACTATGTAGTCCCAGCTGTTTATCTGTTCCTTCATTTTCTTTGCTTCTAGAGGTGAGTCCTCAAAGAAGTTTCTGAGGTTAGCACAGGCAAAATTATTTTGATGTATCACTTTAAAGGGAACATACAAGCATTTCTGTTGCCACCTTAAGTTAACTCCTGGTCTGTGCCTAGGCAGAGTTTGGGGTGTACTAACAGATGAGCTTAGAAAGTCAGGGCCTAATTTAGGGAAGCCTAAATGAAAACTCTTCTCTAACTAAAAGTACGATATCAATAAATTCAGAAAATACCCCAGTTTCCCGGCTGCTCTGACATGGCCTCAGTCCTGACCTCCAACTAACAAAACCTGGAATAGAGGTTTTTTAAACTTGCTCATTAAAACATATGCTCGGGAAGAGACTGATAGAGAAAGCAATGAAACTATAATTTCAAAGGGAACTGCCTGATAAATAAAAATCTTTCCATGTCAATAAGATATACAAGCTACACAGAAACACATAACACTTATTTCAAGAGATGGTCAGCATTTGAAAATGGGACTTTCAGTCCAGCATTCGTGCTTTAGAATGTGTGCACAAGAAGAAGATAAATAACTTCAACTCACATGAACAGTCAAATAAACAGCTTAAGGCTAGGAAAAAAAAAAAACATATTCTTGCTTAGACCTTCCTGGGTTTTAAACCTAACAACTTCTTGAAGCCCTGGGCTTGTAGGCAAAATCTACAGTTTGGAGGTGTGAAGCAAGGAGAGTATGTGATCATATTGTTACCATTTTGCCACATTCCTTCTACTCCTTTTTTTTTTTTTTTTTATTTTATTTTTTTTTTAGAGGCATGTTTTTATTTATTTATTATTTATTTGTTTGTTTGTTTTTTTGTTTATACAAGCACTGGGTACAGTCAGATGTTTTTATTTATTTATTATTTATTTGTTTGTTTGTTTGTTTTTTTTTGTTTATACAAGCACTGGGTACAGTCAGAAGCGCGGGAGGGTGAGAGAATTCACCAGAGCCAGAGCGGGGAGCAGAGCAGGCAGAAGGACCCAAGTACACTGCTGAGGGGAGCAGCGGGCGGCAGGAGAGGTCTGCGCGCCATGTGGGACCCTCCTCCGGTGGCCGGGGAGCAGCCGGGGATCGAACCGGCGCCGCAGAGGCCGCAGGCAGCTTCGCAACCCAGCGCTCAACCGCTGCGCCACTGGGGAGGCCCTCTTCCACTCCTTTTAATCCTGAGACCCAACACAGCAGCAGTACTAGTTTACATGTAAAGTTGGGTGACAAAGGAGAAGGAAAGGTGTGGATAGATATGTCTGGACCCTCACCCCCAGGGACAACATAATGTAATTAGGAAAGATGTGGAGTCTGGAGCCAGACTACACGGGTTCAAGGTCTAGTTGAGCCACTTACCAACCTATCGTGACCTTGAGTAAATTGCTCAATCTCTCTGTCCAGCTTCCTTATCATTAAAAGTGGATTTGATGATAATAATAGACTCTGTGTCAAAGGGTTGTAGGTGGATTAAATAAGCTAATACATGTAAATTGCTTGGAACACTGCCAGCACATAGCAAGATTTAGCTTGGATCCTCACCGCATTCCTCATCACTTAATTCAATGGCCCTGCTTCCCTGTTTAACAACTTATCTGCAAAAAAGTAGGTAGGATGATGTAAAAGAGCAAACTGCCTCCTCAAAGCAACAGACTAACAAAGGCACTGGGAGCAGCACTTACGGGCATGCAAAGAACTGTCAAAGTTGATGGTTATACGGCAGGTATAATTATGTAATATTGCCATTAGGACGCCAGAGAGAAAGCATGAATAAATTGAAATGTTAATGACTTCGAGTGTTCAAGGAAATATTCCATTTATTATGGAAAACAAATGAAAGGCAAGTTAACCTGTCATTTCTCTTACTCAGAGTTAGTTCATCATGACTTCATGTGCATACAATGAAAACATTTTATGGATTTACACTAACAAGGAAGTCAAGATGAAGTCCATGCACCATATGTTGCTAATAGCTCTGGTTTCTGTTCCTCAATCACTATCCCAAAGTTTCCATAACTGATCTCAAAAGATGCTTTTAGCAAGAAATCTTCCAAAGGATCCCTGTGCCTAGAACCCTGTCTAAGAAAGTGGAGACATGTCCTCTGGTGGAGAGGGGTGGCTGGAGAGGGTATCCTGCTCTCAGTCCTTTCTGTTCAGGATGAAGAAGGGAAAGACCAGGAGCAGCGCAGACTGATTCCGCGCTCCTTTTACCTTCTTTCCCAGGATATGTTGGTTGAACCACCACCACCCACTTCCTCACTTGAGTATCCTTGAACCTTGCTTTTCTCATCTGATGAGGATGAGAAAACAGTAATAACAGCAAGCTGGTCACGGGGTGGGCATTAAATAAGCTCATGGATGTAGAGCGTCTGACAATGACCAGCACACGGCTATTGCTCAAGAAAGGTTATTAGTATCATTAATATTCCTATTAATATTTTACTGTCGATATATGGAATAACTATTATCCTAACTACTTGAGAATTATCCAAAAAGATAATCAAAAATTTTGAGGGTTCAAAGAATAGGACATAGTTCTTACCTCTTAGAGTCTTATGATAAGTCTTACCCACAAAAAAAATACATTGAACTGTCAACCAACAAGTAGTCAGACTGTAATATAATCAGGAAAGCTTTGATTTGAGAATAGGAAATATAGTCTGGGTCCAGTGAATACTCAAGGTTTGTAGCAAAGGCCAGAGCAGAGAGGAGTTTAAAAGGATCAACAGGAAAGTGGCCTGAATTTAATTTATTTGTTGTAGTTGGTTCCTAAGCCCATTTGTCTGCTGGACCAGAGTCTTCAGACAGAGGCTGCAGTGTGGGGTCTGCCATGACAATCAGCATATGCTCTCCACTTTCTTTTCTGCCAACTGAGTCAGGCTGCTCCAGCCATTCACCCAAAAGTCTCAGTGTGGCAGTGAGAGACGACAAGAT